CATTAAATTCCAGTGAAATATATTTATGTTTGTGGTTGTAATGTGACAAAATATGGAAAAGTTCAAGGGGTATGAATACTTTTGCAAACCACTGTAACTGGTAGGGAATACAGGGTCTTTGCCTGGTTTCAACAGGAGACTAATGTTGGCCAAATTTATATTTCCTGGAAGTCTGCCAGTATTCTGGAATATCCTGGCACCAGTAGTTCACAGAACGCTACAGGAGTCAGAAAAACATGGCAGACTTGCAGAAAAAAAGTATGCCTAATAAAAAGGCTCCAGGTCCAGATAGTTTTCTAGCTGGAAAACTATCTGGACCTGGAGCTTTTTTATTAGCCATATTTTTACGGCTTTACAAATTTCACCTGGTGTCAATGGTGAGTCCAGCTCTAATGATTGACTACTGGAAAATTTTGGAAGCGTTACTTTGTCCAAAAAGTGATCAATATCATCATTTATTGTATTTATATGTCTCTGAAAAGGTGGTTTGGTTTTCACAAGTTTTATTCCCAGTAAAGTCTTTAACACCAGATATAGTTGTTGTTTTTTTAAAATAAATGTTCTTTATTTTCATCTAGATTGGAATGGTTGGACCTAGAGTGGGACAGCCCAATGTCAGCCAACTACAGAACCAGTATCTTTCACATGGACAGTTCCCTGGTTCAGGACCTGGAGTTGGAGCCGCTCAGACTGGGATGGTCTTGTCTGGAGCCCAAGGAGGCATGACCCAGGTAAGACTGCAGACAGGAGAAGGGTGGGCTAATAGAAGTGTCTACTTCTTCCTCCTCCTTTAAACATATGAATATTGTATATTAGTAAATGATTCTATTACCTTCTGTTTTTATGTACAATAAAAATTGTTTCTTTGCTTTGAACATCTTGTTTTAATTTATTTGTTTTACGTCAGGGACAGAACGTAGAGTATGAGCAGCACTGTTGAGTGTTTTCATCACAGTTGGTGATCAGGTGTTTAAATCTTGGAACAGTTGTTTTTTGGGAGGGTTTAGAAACAAGTGAATAATTGCTTGATTTTCACATATTTACTTTAAAAAAATCAGGTTTATTTTATTCTGCCTCTCATTACATGGTAAATGGACTGAACTTGTAAAACTCTTCATCACGTCCTGTCGGGCTCAAACAGTTTACACTTTCACACATTAACATAGTAGTCAGGGCGTGACAGACAAGGGTGTGAGGTTTTGTTATACAGGTATGGGGTTATGGTACTGTACATGGGTATGGGGTTGTGGTACACGGGTGAAGAAATTTATTGGGGTTGTTTACTACTAAAGTTAAAAGACACTACACATCGTATCGTCTTTTATTAGGTGAACAGTAATATATTTTTATAATATGGTTATCTCTGATTGAATTGATAATTTTACGTGCAGACTGGGTTGTGGGACTCTTGATCAGGGTCTCACACACTCAGGAGGCTTTTAGTCAGATACACGTCTGTTAAAACAACACATAAGAACCGTGATTAAACATTAACGTGAGGAATAATTTCTTACCTCTTGACTCCGTATAAAAATAGCCTGCCCATTTCAGACACTTTCACGAGGCGGGGTCAGGATGTGAATACGTTTTGTAACTTGATGTTTCCTGGTTCTGCCCACTGGTTAGCTGATGCCTGTCGGAGGCAGGTTAAACCAAAGCTAATAAGTCCACAGCTGTGTCCAGATGGTTTTGAATGGCTCACTCAAACATTCACATGTCATTATTATTAACTGGTGTTAGATCTGAACAGGTAACAGGTAAAGAACATTGCTTATTTTTTAACACCGGTATGGTAGCTTTAATACTTGTTTTGATCTTGGTTCTCTTTGCACTTCTTCAGTTAATACATGAAAATAATGGAGGCACTGAGATGGTTTTAACATTAGTGTAGAAATATTTGTATTTATTCTTGCTCCTGTGCAACATTTTTAAACACTCCTTTACCTTTTCTGACTTCAGACGCAGATGGGAACCCCTCCTCTCCCAGTTGCCAGTCCTCTAGCACAGCCAGGTTCAGGTAGTGGTCCCACTGGGGTCTCTGCAGGGGGACCCATGGGTCCCCAGAGTGTAGGTGGTGGAGGCCTCAACTCATCTGTTGGAGCCCCTGCTTCCTCTGTGACTCTGTCCAACCAAAACCAGCAAGCTAACTCCATTCCCCTGTTGGGAGCCATGCGTGGCAGCTCACCCTCCCCAGCTCACAGCCGATCCCCCACTCCCCACCAAACCCCTCCAAGACTAGCTGGTTCTCAAACACCTCAACCACATACCCCTAATGCACCATTGGCCCCACCCTTAGCACTTCAGCAGAACCACCTTGGCCAGGGCCCCGGCTCCAACAAGCCCCTACAGCAGCAACACATGGGTCCCTCTGCTTCCACCACTCCGTCTCACCCTGGCCTGACCTCCAGCTCAACTCTGCCTGCTGGCCAGATGCCACGGACTCCAGTAAGTGCTTTACGATTGAATCAGAAAAGCAGCTTGTTTTGTTTTGTCTCTTTCTTTTATTTGGGACCCATCATATCGAAATGAGGATCAAGTCAAATTTGGTCAAAATGATCTAATCACATTTTCAGATTCCTGCTTTAAAAGCTACATTTTATTACTTGGATCATTCTGATGTCATCAGCTTATCCAGAGATATGACTTCATTTGTCTTCTTGGTTACGATAAAACATTAATATTTGGTCTGAATCCTAATTTTGTATACATTTATTGAGTAATTTTTTATGTCAATATAAAGAGGAAACCTCACATATTATTTGTATATTAAGATTTCACAGTAGGAAAGAAACAAAAACTTTGCTGACTCACAGGGAAAAGTTCTAAATCTTAATATGTTTTTCCTCAAAATAAGGTTTTTTGTTGCTACTGTTAAAAAAAAGCTTAAAATTTTTTAGGATTATATTTCAGACAGTTCATATTGGATATACCCCTCTTTAAAATCGATTCCATGATTTTAATTAAGAGTAATCTGTGAGTTCTTGACGTCCCAAGTTGTTCAAAAAAAAATTCAGTCACCAAAAAACACACAAAACACACAATGAGTCATAGTTTTATTTTGGCCAGTTAAAGACTAACTGACTTTTATTAGGAGAATAATATTGAATGATTAATAAGTGATTACAATGGTAAAACAATAAATGAGCTCTCAGTGTAATACAATCACTACATACTTTTCTAAGCAAGTGAAGTAACTAATTAAGCAGGTTACTTTATATATATTCAGGGTCCTGTGTGTGTGTTTGAGAGAGGGAGAGGGTGAGACGAGAGAGGGAGGGTGAGACGAGAGAGGGAG